GTCCCTCTTATGTAATAGCTCTTCTTTTGGTGGTTGTTTCGTGAACCTCGGGAAAATAGTGCCTATTAACGGAACAATAATTAACAGTTTATTCGAACATGTGGATACAGTAGAATCTCGGAAAAAAAAACTCACACAAAAGTTAATTGTCCAGAAAAGTAAAGCGAATTTTAACGACTTCAACAATTTTTTACAAAGAGTTTCGGAGAAAAAAAAATAAGTCCCAAAATTTTGAAAAATCCTCAGCGATGCGCGTTACCAGAATTTTGGCTGGTACACAGCACATTTCACCAGTTGCGACTTCGGTCATATATTCGTAGATGTGAATATAGTGTGAGTACGGCTTACCAGTTAGAACGTGTGTACATAAGGCGCGAACTAAGACGAAAATTCACTTCGCAAGAATTCGACCGCTTCGCACACACGTTGTAACTGGTAAACCGTACACACGAATCACAGTTTGCTTTGATTCGCATGAACGTTCGTATGACCGAAGTAGCAAATGGTGAAATGTGCTGTCTACCAGCCGATCAACTGGTGACGTGCGTCGCTGAGTCCAGTAACACAAGTGTCACAATAATGATAAAATATTTCGAATCGAGATTATTTTCATTCATTATTATTCCACGAAATGGAAAATGATCACAAGTCCTAGTTATTCATTGTATCTGAACCAAAGATGCACAATGCTCCTGATTCAATGGGCTATGTGCTTGTGTACAGAGCCTGTCCGAGGGTTAGAGAAAAAAAATGATTCAACCATTGTACTGGTGCATAGATAGCACAAAATTAGAAGATATTTTGAAATAAAAACTGGTGGTGCAAAAAGAAGTTTATGAAGTTTTTAGTTAAAATTCGTCAAAAATCGCAAAGAATCGAAAATTTAAAAAGTGGTCCGATTTGGATGAAAATTGGAACATAGCATAAGGGGGCCAATATAAGAATTTTGACATTTAAACTGATTCAAAAAACTGGTCCGAACTGGTCCAAAATGATTGAAAACGATTTTTTCCTCGGACAGGCCCTGCTTGTGCGCAAGATCTGGGCATCCATATCCAGCTTTAATGGATTTTAGTTTTTTTTTTAATGAGCGTACAGTGCTCTCTCAGGAATCTTAAGTAGTTTGTTTATGCAAAGTAACCTAAGTTTTCTGGACAATTAAGATTTTTGGACGCAAGTTTGTATGAAATTGAGGATTTCGTTTTTCGAAAATTGTTCAGTTTTTTGGAATATTACACACAGGGGAGAATGGTTAAGATGTGTACCTAAAATTGATTTTTTTTCTCGTAAAAATAACCCAAAATTAAGATGTCTAAAACAAAATTTATTTTTTCAGTCAAAATTTGTATGGAAGAAAATAAATTTTGTTTAAGATATCTTAATTTTGGGTTATTTTTACGAAATAAAATCAATTGTACCTAAAATCTTAACCATTCTTCCCAGTGTGTAGGGTTTCTTGAGATTTCTGAGAGCACTGTATGCGGCTGCATTACAAGAATAATGATTTCAGCACTTGCTACAGATAATTTCAGTATAAAATGTAATTTCTCATGAAAAAGTTCACGATGTATTGAAATGGTGCGTTAAGCATAGACTGAATCATCATAATAATCTATGAATGAGTGAATGAAACAACAGTGGAATTTAAGGTTTAAATGAAAAAAGCCAACATTACGAAATATTTCAGTCGACAGGATATTGATCGATATCATCACATTTTTATTATTTATTCCACTTACCCAGTGCATGTACTGGAAGTAAAATAAGTGCAATGAGTAGAATTTGCAACAGCCACATTTTCACAATTATTTTATATTGCTCCATAAATGTAATTTGAGTTAATTCACTTTATTTGAAATATAAAATGTTCAACAAGATGTTGATCGTCAAAATTCCGTTCATATTTTAGGTCACTTGAACGCGATGAAAAACTAAAAATCGTTGAAACCATTAGAGCTGTGGCGAGAACACCATCAAATAAAATAATTATTCTTCGATTGGATTCGCGTTTTTTTCTACAACCAAAACAATTAACTTGTGAACAAACAAAAATCAAAGGTTCAGCTCAAAACAATATATCGTAGTAATTACAATTAAATTTTTTATTCAAATTTGGAAATGTTCGACCATATCGTGTAGCTGAAAATATAAAACTGAATTCCAAACTGACTTCAGAAGAAAGCTATTGTTGGTTTCATACACAATCAACGTTTTGGAATGCCAAATCTGCGTCAAAAATGTACAATGAGTAAAAAGAGATAAAAAAATGGGAGTTGTGATAAAATGGAGATTGGCTTCAAAATTACTCATTCCGAAAGTTTTCTTTTTCGTCAAGGAATCAAAGAATCATTTTATCTCAAAACAAAATTTTATCCAATTTATGTGCGTAGAGTTTTAAGCCAATGTATCGAAACTTATTTTGACTTTGCTTGAATGAAATTTCTTTCTTTGAATTCTAAATCAGTTATTTATATAATTTAGTTTAAAAGCAAATATTACCAGCGTAGATAATGTAATTTTGCATTTCTTCTTATTTCTTATCGGTTTTACACTTATAGTTCAAATTATTGGTTTTAAAAAGATTTTCGAACACAAATTCAACGGTTTCGAATTTAAACCCTCGTTCCTCTAGTTAGATAAAAAAGTTCGCTCCGCTCTGCGTTCTTGAGTTTTTAGTTACTTAATCTATTTTGTTGTTTCACAACAAACTATTTTTTGGCGCACTACATGAAATGTATTTCATCAAAGTAACTTTGAAGTAATATATTTATTTGCAAAATGAATTACAAGATCTTGGTTTTATTACTTTTCCGCAAACTTTGCTTGTATGGAAAAGTATTGGTTTTAATAGCCAAAATTTCATGACATCTCCCCTTTCGGACCACTATAACGTCACGCCAAACTTCAAAAAGCACATATCTGTACACTAGGCAATGTAGATGGGAACAAATCCTATCGATAAAGACCTATGTGGCTCCAAAAACATGTTGTTTACTATGAAAAATGTGCATAATAGCGATGTGCGTATGGCGTCGTCCGCGTTCGCGTTTTTTGTTCGCCGATTATCTCAAAAAGTTGAAAAGATAATTGAGATCTGTAAAAGCCAAAAGTTTTGGCATGTCGAGACAAAGCTTCGGATTGATTTTGAGCCCATTCTGATTTACCAATTTCGTACCATAAGCCTCCGACTGAGGACCTGAAAAACCTTGAAAAATGACACTTTTGTACGGGAAGTACCCGAAAAAGGCATTTTTCGGGGTTTCGATCAAGGCAAACTGCCATTTTTTCTTGCAAAAATAATGGGAGTCTGTGAACAACCGAACACCTACTTGCCCATAAATTTGGTCCGAAATCGACATTTCTTGAAATTTTTGAAATTTTGTTCGAAAATGACACTTTTGTATGGAAAATGGTCGAAATAGTTATATTTTAAGGTCAAAAATGCTATGAAAAAAGGGTCCATCGAAATTTTGGTTAAACATTAAGCGGGAGGTAAACTAAATTGCTGCGGAGCGGAAAAGTTTGGATTACGTATGTAATTCGTTTTATTTCTTTTTTGAAATATACTGCCTTTGGTTATTAAATAAAAAATATGAGCATTGAATCTAAAATCACTTTAATTCTGTTCAAGACACAGAAAATATTATACGAAAAATTAATGTAATTTTTAAACAACATTTGATAATAAAAATTTGATTGGCGCCTTATGATATTATGCACCTATTTGTCGTTACTGCCACTGTTTTAAATTAAATCAAAAATATGAGCATAAAATTCAAATTCACCATAATTTGTTTCAACACTCAAAAAGTATCTAGACAAAAAAAAGAGCAGATTAGTAGCTCTACATTTCCTGTAGTGCTAAAAAAATCAGCAAGTGATGAAAGCTTGAAAACATCATATCATCAACAAGAAGAACATTTGAATTTTGTAAGTACGAATAAATGTGTCAACAAGTCAACATTTTTTTTGTATGTTACTTTTTTCTATTTATATAAAAAAAATTTAAATTCTGAAGACCAGTTTCTGATTAATGGTTGATTAGGTGTGAACGCGTGATATCATGAATTTTCTCCGAAAAATAAATGACCCAAAAAATTACTCTGACGCATAAATTTGGGCCTTTATTCGGAACGATTACATCTCAAACAAAAACAAATAAAGACCTAAATTTGTGCGTGAGAGTGATTTTTTCATTTTTTTTTCGGAGGAAATTCATGATATCATGCGTTCAATAAAAAATTAGTCAAAAACTTGTCATCACAATTAAAAAGTAATAATACATAAATAGAAAAAAGTAACATACAAAAAATGTCGGCTTGTTGACACATTCGTTTGTTCTTGTAAAATTCAAACGTTCAAGACGATTTCTTGTTTTCAAGCTTTTATCACGCGCTAGTTTCTTAGCTAAACAGATGATTCATAAGCACGAAGCCGCTAAACATGTTTGCATGGGTATTTCGAAGAAAATATGCTGGTATGGAGTGGCTTTCATTTGATACCCGAGTCAGGCGCGTAGTCAACAAGCAGCGATTGAAAGTTTATCAAGTATCCCGTCACTTTTGTGATTCATCCTATTTGGATGGTGTAATTATCAAATATCAAATTATGAGAGATGTAACAAAAATTTTGCTCTAATTCTATCCTATGCATGGAATGCTGCTGTATTGTGCCCACAACGCACAGTTAATTTTGACGATTAGAAATTGTCCGAAAACATGAATCTGATCGGTAAGCGTAATCTTCGATTTGTTCGGTCTTGGTTCGTTTTCAAAAAGTTTCCTTAGTATCATCACCTGCATTATGCCGATAATCAAAATAACGAATGTCTGTGTCACAGACCCACCACAGGGGTCACCATTTATTGCTCGGTTAAGAGTTTTACTAATAATAAATGATACGGAACATATAACAAAGCTTTTCTGAATTGTCTCATTTGTGGGAATGGTTCTGAATCCAATTGTTGCATAAATATTGAATAAAGATTTAACGCAAATCTGTTTATTGGTTCGTTGTTAAAATTACTTTATTCAATCAATTTAATTGAAAAAGTAGACCAATGATTTTGAACAATACATTGACTTGAGTATTCGTTCTTATGCGATATACTTTTTTCCTCTCCGTTTACCAAAAATAATTTAATTAATTGGTTTAAATGATTGAAGTTGTATAGATGTTTCCGAGTTGTTATGATTTTTTTTGTTTGATTTCGGTGTGTCACTTTCAACATAAAGGCCATTTATCGCAGTTAGTGTGTCGTCTGGCGATTTGGCTAAGAATGGGAAGTATTTTTCCCGTAACACATTCACCGGCACGGACGGTGCTTGACAATTAGGCGATCCCAGCATAGCCAAATAATCGGTATCACCAGAGTTGAATCGGCTCTCGTTCGCCTCTACATATGGCTCATTCAAATCCACATAATGATCCGATTCGGCATTCCCAAGTATTTTCGAAATACTTTGCTCCAGATCACTGAATGTGGGACGTGTCTCGGGCTTAAGACGCCAACAAGACAGCATGATATCGTGTCTGCATGGAAATTATGAAGCATATCAATACATATACTTTCTTGTAAAATGTCAAAGAAGTCAACACTTACAAGGCTTGCGTGGCAAATTCAGCTTTTTCCAGTCGATAACCGTCGTTCAATTTGCGCTTCACCTCGTAAGGCTCCATTCCTGAATAAGGTGTTGCGCCGAGCGAAAATAATTCCCACATCAAAATTCCAAATGACCAGGCGTCGGAATGTGCACTAAACACAAGGTCATTTATCGACTCCAGTGCAAGCCAATTATATGGTAAGCAATAAGTCTAGCAATTTTGGATAGAGTAATTTGTTATTTCATTTGCTTGGTTCTTATCGTTATTTAAAATGTTTTGATATTAAAATTATCCGTAAAAAATGTCTTTTGTTCTGAGTTTACATTTTCACATTTTTACCTTTTTATCTGGGTCCATTTGATAATTCTCATTTTTGCACAATGATCGGGCCAATCCAAAGTCACAAATTTTCACAACATTTCCTTCACATAATAGGATATTTCGTGCCGCCAGATCACCATGCAACACTTTTCGTGAGGCCAAATAATCCATTCCGCGTGCAATTTGGAATGACCAGACGAGCAAATCTTTTGTTGTCACTGAACGCGTTGATTCATCTGTTGATTCGTCCACCCTTACTACACAGCCGCTATCTGGGTGAATAACAGAAGAAACATTTTCATTTCACTCATCATTTCGTTCATGAATAAAAAACCAAATCAAATGGGTTTGAATTTTTTTTTCATTTCAACAGCGGATAAAACCTACTTCTTTCAATGGTAGTCGTTTCTGGTTGACGCACCGTTTCCATGCTGGTACCACCGGATACGTCAAATGATGTATAATTATCTGCCTTTGATTGATAAACACTCGCCAAATTGTTCAGCAAATCGCAGTCGACGTTATTGACCTTTCTGCTTTTGAAGAAATAGATTCGATCGTTGATTAAAATACTTTAAATTCGATGTGATAATCTAGTACCTGTCTGATGATAAAGGTTTGGAACTAGTCGGGATGACGGTTGGAGCGATTTTAGTATTAATTTCATCTTTGCCTGGCACAATTTGATCCACAAAATATCGTCGGTTCTTCACCAAAACGCTATGAAGACTACCAAACGGACAGTATTCGACGATGACCATTAGATTGACTATCGAGAAAGACAGTTGAAAGAAGACAAAAATTATCATAAGATTTAACCATAGAAAATCGAATCGCCATCAAATCCGAATGCAAAAATAATCTTTGACAACTTGAGGTGATTGCCATTTGTTTTCTTACATTTTGTGATATCCTTAGTAACAGCGCCAAGTAAATTGACGACATTCAAATGTCGACCCAAATGGACCATGATTTTCAGTTCGGATAATAATGCCCGCATCACCTGTTGAATTCATTCAACAATTGAATGACGTTGATGGTTGTGAATGAAATGAAAATTTTCAATCAAAATATGTCATGGTAAATAATGTTGATGACATACCTCATTGCTAGCAATATTCTTCACCATTTTGACGGCAACTCTTGTTTCCTCCTCACCGGGTATAATGCCCTGTGCCGTTGCCTCCTTGACGACTCCAAAAGCTCCAGCGCCAAGCTCTTTGCCAAATTTCAGTTTGTCGCGTGGAAATTCATATTTTTTATCATAGGGCAGTAGGTCAGCCTGAACATCTAATGCCAGTTCTGGATTAAAACCATCTAAATTTCCGTCCACAAAATTGCTCAATCCAGCTTTTTTAAGTCTTTTCCGATGACGATATACAGCCCATGCACATAAAACCAAACACACCGCCAATATGAATATCAGAATCACTAATCCGATTGTGAAATATGTGGTTTGATACCATGGCACGTCTGGAATCTGAGAATATTTACTCTGATTTGGTCTATGCTCCTGACGTGGAACTTCACAATGGTCACCTTCAGTGTTGTCACCGCAGTTCTATACAAATCAAAGCAATAACAATAATCAAACAGCATACATGGGTGAAGGGGTATCGTGATTTTATCCGTAGGTAAAAAAATACCCACCAACTCCTCCCACTTGCGCATTTATGATGACTTACGTGACAAACGCCAGTTTCAGCATCGCACTCATCTGAATGTCCGTTACAATCGCATGGTAGGCACACTCCCAAGTAAAGACCATTATCGCTGCGTGTGTAGCCACGAGCGCAATCTTCGCAACTGATTCCTTGATGACCTTGTGGACATGCACATTGTTCAATTTCAGAGGCACGAGTTGAGTTTTCAGTGTAATATATGCTGGTCGTATCTAAAATGACCGAAGACAAAGCGGCTTCATCAGTTGTGGTCGTGTATGTTGCCTTGATGAAAATATCCAATACATCGGCCAAAGTCATGAGCAAATATTCACGATCGATTGTATTTCCATCGATGCGTTGCCAGTTCTCTTCCAAAAGTGGTACAACATACGGTTGTGAAATGCTTGGAGCGATTTCATCGCGACGGTAGTGCAAAATGGTCAAATCGTTCAAACTACAAATTACCACATCGGGTGCGTTGTTTCGAGACATAATTTCACCAGGTGTTGGCACAAAGCGAATGGTATAGTTGAGATTTCCACCATACGACGTGATTTTGTTACCGACAAAACGTGATGGCAAACGCCAGAAGTAAACATCTGGATCACTAGCTAAATTTTGAATCAAAACTTCATTGTTGTATGAGCTAATTTCAAGGTCACTTTCTTGTGGATTTTCGAAATGAGTGATCAAAGCGAATTCATGGCGGTTCGGGGCGAATGTAGCGACAGTTGAATCTCTGAACAATGAGCTGCTGGTACATGTTTGGCTCAAACCGTTACAGAAACACTGAATGCATCCGGTCCTCCATCTTGGACTTAAGAAGAATGAATGGCTTGAGCATTGATCACAACGGGCGCCAATTACATGTTCTTTACATTCGCAACGGCCGTCTGAGTGTTCACGAAGTGTTCCGCGTGGATCACAGTGCGAAACTTGTGGTTGTTCGACTGAGCATGAACCACCCGGCAACAATGGATTACCGACAAATCCTTGGGCGCATTGTTCGCAACGACGACCAGTGTATCCACGGTTGCAGTCACAAACAAGTTCACCGTCTGGACCCAAGTAGCACGTACGGGCAAAGTTATTTCCACTGGTTGTCGATGGACATGGGCATGGCTGTGGATAAAAAAGTTTATAATTAGAATAGTGTCAGAGTTGAAAAAAACCTCTTTTTTTTTTAAATTGACATGGACTTCAAGTCAAAATTTTCGACTACGACTGGTTTTACCCAAGAACTTACTTTGCATGGAATCTGTCGGTATGGATCGCCATAATTTCCTGGTTGGCATGGTTCTTCATCGCGAATACAACGGCCTAACCAAGCACCATTTTCTTGACGAGTATATCCAGGTGCGCAAGACTCACAGCTCAAACCTGAATAACCAGCTGGGCATCGACACTCTTCGACAAGTGATGCTGATCCAAGACCTTGATCGATGACAGTAGCTGAATTCATCACAATGTGCAACAATTCAACTTCACGTTGAACAGCATCGATGTATTGCAATCGAATCAAAACATTTTCCACTTGAGCCAATGTCATCATGATTTCTTCACGTGAAGCCAAACTTCCATCAGGTTTGTGCCATTGACCCGGTACAAACGAAACAGATATTGAATTACGAATGCCCTCTTTGTTAGGGTTTGGACTGCGGTAAACCAAGATTTTTTCGTTACCCTGAAATTATCAAAAATTCACATTAAATACATTTCAAAGTAGAAAATTGAAGGTGTCATCAATTAAGAAGCATCGTTAAGCCAAAGTAAAAAGAAATCGGAAAAAACTGATGTCCTAAGCTCAATCGAAACCAAAATCGAACTCACCTTAATGATGACGTCTGGTGCATCATTTGAATTGCCACGTCCGCTATATTCAACGTCATATTTGAATGTGCCACCGTATGATTTCAATTGATTTCCAAGATAGTCGCTTGGGAGTGCATAGTATGGCAATTCACCGGACACCGGCAAATTGGTTAATCTCATTTGAACGCCATGGAGTGTTGCGAGCGAATCGTGTTTATCGAATACGTTGTTGATGCTAATCGATTGTTTTCCAGTCCATGGGCCATGCACGCCGATCACTGTAAGCGATGTCACTGGTGTTGGAAGGGTAAATATGAACAAATTGGCGCATTTACATTGCGATGATGCACCGAAACAGAAACAATTGATACATTCTTCTGGACGGCTGGCTTTGTCATTGAATGATCCATTTTGACAGATTCCTTCGTTGGATACAGTAGCGGTTTTACAACCTTGTTTATCGAAACGATCCTCGCAATCAATCTCTGGAAGGAAGAATTTGAGTAAAGAATACAGTTTTATGAGAAGAGCCAAAAAGTAATTTAGAGCCAAACTCAAGCTAAACAGTAAACAAACAATGAAATTAAATATAGAACAATTTTTATGTTTTGCTTGGCTAAACTACTTGAATACCATCCAACTTCCATTTACCCAGTGCATGTACTTTAAGTAAAATAAACGCAATGAGTAGAGTTTGTAACAGCCACATTTTTACAATTATTTTATATCACTCAATGGTCGAATTTGATGTAATTCACTTAATTTGAAACATTTGAATGTTGAACAAGATGTTGATCATCAAAATTTCATCAGATTTTATGTCACTTTAATACGATTTCAAAAGAAAATCGTTGAAACCATTAGAACTGAACCAAAAACACCATAAACTAATTTTCTTCAATTGGAATCGCGTTTTTTGCAACTAAATAAAATAAACTTATAATACAAACAGAAGCTAAAGGGTGAATGTGGATTAAATTAAAGTATAATGCACTATTTATAACTCAAAATACTATACATAATACATCATGGTGATTAAAATAAAATCTTTTATTCGACCTCTGAAATGTGCGATTATGTGTAACTGATAATATAAAATTGAATTCCAAACTGATTTCAGCAGAAAGCTATTGTTAGCTTCATAAACAATCAACGTTTTACAATGCGAAATCTGCGTGAAAAACGAAAATTGCGTAAAAAAAAGATTACAAAAAGAGTGTGGAGTTGCAATAAAATGGAGATTTACGTCTTAAGTTTCTCCGAATGTTTTATTTTTCGTCAAAGAATCCAAGAGTCATATTTTTGTCTTTAAGACAAGAATATTTTTCAATTTATGTGCGTACAGTTTTAAATCAATTTATCGAAACAAAGAAACTTATTTTGGTTTGGCTTGAATGACCTTTTTTTCTTCGAGTTCTAAATCAATTATTCAAATGTTCTTCTTGTTATCGATTTCTTGTTTTCAAGTTCTTATCACGCGCTTGGTTTCTTAGCTAATCAGATGAGCGGGTCCAAAACGCATAAAAACAGTATGATGGCCACAAACACGAAACCGCTGAACATTTTTGTGCATGGGTATTACGAAACAAATATACTGATATGGATTAGCTTTCGTTTAATTCTCAAGTCGCCAGTGATTGAAAGTTATTATTATTCAAGTTTACCTGAAAACCGTGCTTTTTTCCAAAATTTCCTATTTTAAAGAGATATAACAAAATCACATGGATTTAACGTTCTGCATGCGAATCTTTTTTATTCAAATAGGTTTTTGGTTGACAATTTCCTTTTCTTTTCAAATTCCTTGATCTAATTCAATCCTTTGCACTGAATGCGGCTGTATTGTGCTCTTAACGTACAGAGGGTAATTTGACAAGTAAAATTTATCCGAAAACTTCAATCTGATGGGCAAGCGTGATCTTTGATTTGTTTGAACTTGGATCCTTTTCGAACAGTTTCCGTAGTACCAGCACCTGCGTTATGCCGATAATCAAAATAACGAATGTCTGCGTTACAGACCACCAGAGAACGCGATCGTTCAGCTCCTTGGCAAATCGACGACCATAACCTTCTCGCTAAATGTTAGAAGACGAAAAAGATGAAAATTTTAATTAAAATGGATCACATTGACATTCTATTCGAAGCAAATGAAGCAAAAGAAGGAAAAAGGAATATCCATCATCGGAAATGGCTCACAAACCAAACCATCCGGTCTTTTTTTTGATATATCAAATTTACTCACCAGACGGTAGTATGTCTGCAAGTTGATGATATTTTCCAAATAATCGTGAATTTGATCTGCTCTGGATTCCATGAATGTCATTTCATGGTCATGCTCCTCAAGTAGCTGCAGCAATTGATTCGTCCTTCCAGTCTCGAATAATATGAATATCGATTTTTCGGTGAACGTTGAGAATTGATTGTTGAAACAAATCCGATGTACGCCAGTTTCCTGAGATAAAATTAAATATAAATGAAAATAACGTCAAAATCAATGGAATGATTACACACAGAATCTCGACGAAATGTAGCAAGTGTTTTGAATTTAAACCGAATTTCAAAAGAACGAGAAAGAAAAATAAACAAACAATGACTACCAGCTGTGTTGATAAATTCTGATGACTCAAACAAGTGTGGAACATACAGTCGAAAAAGATCGAAATAAAGATAAACTGAAGTGCGTCTGGCAACAGAATTTTCAACAACCATTCATATAATTGGAATTATTTTCAAGAAGTTGAATATAAATTACTACTCGAAAAAAAGTCATGTTTTGTTTTCTTGTTTATGTTTTTTTTCTACGTTTCTCGGCATTTTCAAGTGCTTTTAGGCGCTTCAAGTAAATTCATAGCCAAATTCGAGTAAATTTAACGGGCACGTACCAGTTGATACACATTTTGATTATGTTTTTAATGAATCATTCAAATTCTTTTCTTAACTGAGCGGGTCATAAATGAATTTGAGTTTATATTTAGCATTATTTGAATTCAATTTTTTTTTCATTTCGGTTTCATTATGTAAATTAGGCGATAAAGACTTTGTTTCGATTTCGTTCTTGTTCATAAAAGTGAATCTATGATCAATGAAATAATAATGAACTGCACATGCAATAAAAACGATTGAATACTTACACTTGTATTAAAATTGAACCGATCGAGCTCTTTTCGTTCCGCTTTGTATATGATTTGTTTCATAGGTGATTCAATGATGACATCAACGTCCAATTGACCGCCACTCACAACCTTCAAAGTTTGGAAATGGAAGAACATCAAAACGATACTTCTCATTCGATTTATTCAATTTCTTCAAACAAAAATTTCGTCATCTAGTTTGTAAATGTTGGTGTCAGCGACTTACTTGAAACTCAAATTGGCACTTTGAATTTTGATTGATATTTTCGAAAAAACATTCCTCGCCATTTGCGGCCAAGTCGAACGTAAACTCAGTGCCAAAGACGACATGTGATAAACCAATAATTGAGCAAAGGAAATGAACAAATTTTGCCGAATTTCTCATTGTGAAATGAGATTTTGGAAAGTTTCAATAAAAAAAAACTAAATCACAGTTTATCTGTTTATCTACTTTTTTTCTTCACGTCCGAAAACGACTTTTTTTATCTCGCTAGAGAAAAAAATCAATTTCCTCTCGACTAATTGCTAACTGAAAACAGAAACACCGAATGCGCTACGCAATGGACCCATTTCATGAACGTGGCGTGACAACAGCTGCCAATACAAAACCAACACGAATACGAATACAAATACATATAAATACACAGAATGAAAAAGAACAGTCGCATTCGCATTCAAGGTGTTCCAATTGGAGTATGTTTTAATCGTAATATATGATAAATAACCACCGATTATATTTCAATCAACTCAAAATTATGTGGATAAAGAACGGATGAAATTTTTGCAAAATATTGGTGGTGACCAGAGAATC